CTCTCTCTCTCTCTCTCTCTCTCTCCCTCTCACACACACTCTTTCATTCTCTCGCTCTCCCTCTCACACACACTCTTTCTTTCTCTTCCTCGTTTTCTTTCTCTTCTCGTACGACACAATATTTTCTGTTGAGGGGGAACAACACATTACCATGCCCCACACGCGAGCCAGAAACGGCACGGAAATGGCTATGTCCAAGCCGATCCCATCCGCCTTGTATATGAACGCAACCGACAACTTTGTAACGCACACACCAACGGCACATGCCGATTGGAAACAAGTTGCCACCGACTCACACTTACAGCCAAATCAACGAATCATCTACCCTGTCCTCCATCGAATGTAAGCGGTCAAATCGATCAACGCAGTATTATATTCGGGTCATCGCATCGGATGCATAGTCAGCCCAGCCTGTGATCAACGCATTACCAACATGGCTTTTACTGGCGCATCTTTCGCCCGAAGAAACTTTACTCTTCAACATCGTATAACAATACTGACAGACGCATTCCTTCTGGGTTGTTACAAACGGCACCCATAATGCAGGCAGTCTCTTTCGGTCCACGGTTTTATCCAGATAACTATAGTAACAAGGCCGTCAACAACTACGTGTAGGATTCCGAACTGTCGGTCAGCAAGTGAGTGTCCAGAATCCAATATTTAACAACGGCAGTGTACGCTGGCTGCACTAAGCTTTGGTGGACCAACCAAACACCTTGCGATTCCTCCCGAACACGTTCACGCGAAGATTGACCGTATCAACATTACACAGTTCTGGCATACATGTCATTTCTACTCACGCGATAGATTTGCCCACTGTTCTTCTCGTAGCCTACCGCTAGAGACTTGCGTGCTATCGCGCATGAGATCCATCGGAGTGGGGTGACATCTAGACTGCCTGTCTAGGCTTACTCCTGCTAACACCCTACAGTGGTAAGACCCGCGCCTCACGCGCACCACCCCCACCGTCTACCTTCCTCTGCATATTCCACTCTCCCAGCCCGACGGAGAGATGGAAAGAAGGAACGATAAACGCTTCAACAACACGACGAAGAAGCACCACACAGCTTCCCCGACGAGTTCTCATCAGATCCGAGAGCCGTGGGAAACGCCTCGGCCGTGCCGAAGACACAAAGGAAGCCCTTCGTTCGCTTCACCAACGCAGCGCAGGTGGCGTCCGTTAACGACGAGCGAACCCACGTGCATCGCGGAGGATGGCGGGAACTGCGTTAATCGACTCTTCCCTCGCAGCCTCCGACAACGGTCAGCGTTAATTAACCACGGCTTCTCCTTCAGTAGTGACGAGGCAATAGTGACGATGATAATTATTTACAACGGCGACGAAGGTTCGGCTAGAGGTGCTGGACGACTGATCGCTGCGATTACTGCGCGCGGCTACCAAGCAGAGCAAAAAGCTCGCAACAAAAACTAAAACACGTGCTCCTTCATTGTTCTTCCCACTGGATGCAACTCGTATAATCCTACAGCTTCTGCGTCATGTGTAATTAATAGTGCACGAAACAAAATCTCCTCACATGCAATATAACCAGGACTACCTTTTCATCTGAGAGTTGGTCCTGCTGCTTTCGGACGGATCTGTTTCACTCGCGATGGCAGCTTCAACGGTTACCGCTGGGGTTGCGCAGACCGTATGGACACCTCAAGCCGAACCCCCGCCGTATGAATGGATGACGCATTGACGATGATATCAAAAATAGATTACAAAACTGCCCTGCGCATCGTTACCGACCAGCCAGCCAGGTGCGCGGGGTTAGGTGACGTGACGTTTCACGAAAACTGCGCGGGGACATACCTCTACGTAGCTCCGACCGTGAACGATAGCCGTATGTCGTGAAACCTCGCGTTAAAACACGATAAACAAGAGCGCATCGCGAACGCTTGCGGAACGACGCCTGCTCGCTTACTAGACGTTACAGCAATGCGCACGATAGCAGAAAACGAGGCAACAACACACTCTAGAAATGTTGCGACACGGCCAGAGCTATCACATAATCAGAGATATTTCGTTCATTTCATTATTTTTGCATGCACAAGCAATACCAAGTGCAGAGTGAACAACTCCAACACCGCGTGCACAGGACGACGAACCCTAGACTTGAAATCGCATAAAGCGAAAACTCTGCCACACTACTATCGTTCTCACTACTGCCCGAGTCTTATATGACAAGGTTTCTGCATGGAAGGCTTCACACCCCGCTCCCGCTACACGCAGTAACAACATTACCCACTGAGCGGAGTCTAACGGGGGATGTAGACGGCGCGTGGGTGGATGGCTGGTCGGTTACACGTTCGCTGCAGAGAAGCGAATGCCGGCTAGCGCGCGACCGCGCGGGAGGCTTCACCGCCGCCCCCGCGGATCGACTCAAAAATATTTACAGCATGGCCAAAGGCCACGAGATACAGATGCGTGGCAGGGAGACGAGCGTCGGTGCGAGAAAGCCGTCCAGACGCACGTGCGTTCCACCACCACGCACGTATGCCAGAGGCTTCGTCGCACGCACACACGCTCACTGCTCGCGCAAACACTTGTTCTTTGCCTCGCAGCACACCTTTTTTATAAACAGAGAGCACATACGTGGGGCTCTTGCTGTCCGAATCAGGCTCTCTCTCTCTCTCTCTCTCTCTCTCTCTCTCTCTCTCGCTGCACGTGGCCTTCCCCTGGCAATGCGGTTTTCCCATCACTGCGTCGCAAGCGGAATCTAGACAACACCCGCTAAGTATGTTGTCTATTCTCTCTCCGCTACTGCAAATGTAGAATACTGTAGCCGGCCTTCCAGACGAGGGATCGCGTGGATCAGTACGGAAATGCTACTCGCTACATAATAGGAGGCAGTGCCACGGGTAGAGCCGCGTGCAGTATCGAGCCTGATTCGGAGAGTTAACACCCACACAACGGATGGGTCAGCACTCACAAAAGAAGGTCATACGTATCCATATCTGTAGAAAACGGGCTTGCTGGACTGTGTCGCGCACACACACGCAGCACCGGGACACACAGCTCACACGCTTCGGTTCGAAATAGAATCACCAGTTTTGTTTGGCGTACAGCGAGGCGCTTTAGCCTACCGCAACACACGTCGGACGACAGTAGGAGATGACGTGTGACGATCACCATCAATGCCAAGCACACGGCCGCAGCGCAAGAACTGCATTGCGGTGGTCCGTCGTTGCAGGCGAGACGGTGGAAAACTCTAGCGACCCTCAGCAACCGAGAACATCAACTACATTTCCGGGTGCCCGCAATGACCCTTCTTTCGTTTGTTCTTTTATAGAAAATAAATAAACCGACAGCTCATATACAATCACTATAGATACAATAAATAGCCCGAGGCAGTCTTGCTCAGCGTAATCTTATCTCATCTTTGACGTTCTTCCTCGATTCACTGGATTCGCATTATTCTCGCAACTCTGGCATGTGTAAGAAAAACCGGCAAACTGTATTGGTCCCCTTATGGCCCCGTCACATCGACGCTTGCAGAGCTCCTAACAGTCTGTGCAGCGACATTCGCTCGTGTCACAGGGCCTACATGTAATGACTTGCCTGGCCGAAACCTCAGACACACGCTATAAAATCACGCGCACCAAGAGTTACAGCGTTCGCAATCGTCACTCGAGAGTTACTTACAAAATGTGTTCATTGACGATTACTTATCCCTCTCCTGATATCATTTAATGATTTAGTGCAGGGAGTTATGGAGTTTACATGCCTAAACGTAGCAGCGGACTTTGCTTCCCTTCGCTCAGTTAAAGCACCGCCTTTTCCATGTTTTACATCGATAGGCAAGCGACGTTATATTGCTGTTCACGTTTGAAAGGTTGCCTAGATAGTCCTGTGCTAGGATAGACTGGGTAAGACTGTCTCCGCTCTATACAGCTGTACATACAATGCCTCCAGATTCAACAATCGCTATAATCTCCGCTACTTCTTCATTCTGCATTCTCGACATGTTTCATGGACCTGTAAAAACGACAAAGAAACAATATTATCGTAAAAACCTCTTCCCATAAGTGATAACCACTGTTGTGTGATACCGTTTCTAATAAATGTGTGAGTAGTCAATAGACAACCCTTAAAAAACCCATCAAGATGAAACAAATTTTCGAACAACTGCATCAGTATCTTCGCAGAGCCTCATTACGTGGTCGAAAAATTTCCCTTCCAATCATTCCACATTTAAACAACTAGACGGATGGCACGTGACATTACGTTTGGCTTATATTCCTCCGTCGTTATCGTCGTCGGAATCCGGCTCCTGATGGAACTCCGCCACGTAAAGGGCCTTGTCGATTGTCCTCGGAATCGGACTAATCTGAGTTCCAAGCTCCTGGAGTAGAGACACAGCAGAGATGGTGATGATGATGGTGAGAGATATCGCAGACAATGACGACGAAATAGCTGAACGTGATTAGACGGGTTGTTAACGGTCGTCATCGTAAAAACGTTGGGAAATTCACGCGATACAATCGCTAATGAAACCAGATTCAACTTTGTTAGATGTGAGGGAAAACTCCATAGTCACCACCAAGCAGCGCAGTCATTTTAATATGCACGCACGCACACACACACACACACACACACACACACACACACACACACACACGACACACACACGCACACACACACACACACACACGCACACACACACACACACACACACACACACACACACACACACGCACACACACGCACCTGCTCAATCTTGTGGAGTGAGAAGCGGTCGTCGTACGTGATGAGATTGATCGCGACACCAAGATGGCCGTATCTCCCCGATCGGCCAATCCGATGAAGGTAGGTCTCCGCCATTTTTGGGAAGTCGAAGTTGATCACAACGTTTACAGCCTGTATGTCTATACCTCGAGTGAATAAGTCTGCACACAAAAAAGAAAAAAAAGACACCTCTTCGTCAGTGACGTCACCCTCAAGTTGCATCGTCATGCGGCCATGACGACGCAATGGGTTTATGCAGCACCAGCGACACTTTACACGAATCATTGAAACTTCTTTTCTTACGATATCTGACGAAATGTACTCACTATGAAGAATTCGAAGATGGACACCAATTTCTGTGCTTCATATTAAAATTCTTACGTGACACCAGCAACACTTCACACGCAAATCATTAAAACTTCCGATGCTTTTTTACGCAATGGGTCATACCACGCCAGCACCTCATGTTATCAGGCATGAGAACAGGTTGAGATGTTTTTGGTGGAAAATTTTTTATTGCATTTTCTATTTCTATTTCTTTTCCTATTTCTATTTCTATTTCTATTTCTATTTCTATTTCTATTTATTGTAATTTTCTATGAACCATTGTCACCGAGTTTCGGTACGCATGAGAATAGGGTTGAAACCCTTTACATTACATAGATACCCCGCGATATTTATCTGGAGTTCTGTCACTTCTGTGTGAAATTTGACATACTTTTCCTGACTTTTTATGAAGTTAAAATTAAAAATGGCATCCATTTTGACAAGGAAAAAAGTACACCTAAAAACTTTTTTTTAGTTTTTTTGCATCGATCTCAAGAATGACCAAAATGAAAACCAAAACCCAGAAATCCGCACAAAATTCTCATGCCTGTGTTATACAAGGGCACATCGACATAAAGCACAATTTATTTAACTACACCACCGACGCCATAAACAAACGTTGCCAGGCTGTCATGTCTCCACTACCCACCGACACAACTTTGAACGCAAAAACCTTGGCAACGAATCTCAGTAAACATGGACTTCCAAGTAAATAAACTCCCACGCAACACTTCCCGGATCAATCTACAAAGAACGCACGATCATCGCCGGCGGGGATACGTACCGGTGCAGACGAGGTTTCTGCACATTCCCGCACGGAAGTCGTGGAACACCTTATTACGATGGCCCTGCGCCATCTTAGCGTGGATGTAGTAGCAGGAGTAGCCTAGCTCCGTTATCTTCTTCGCCAGAAGCTCAACACGCTGCGAGGAGTTGCAGAAGATGATCGACTGGTTGATCTGGAGCTGCAGAAGAAAATTATACGATTGGTCGATCTAAAGCCGTAGAAAACATTATACGATTGGCCGATCTGGAGCTGCATAAGAAAATTATAATTGGTTGATCTCGAGCTGCAGAAGAAAAATCATATGCGATGACGATTGTGGCGGCACAAGGTATGAACTAGGTACTTGTTCAACCTGTAAATTTAATTACACCTTTGAATCACCTTCGAAAAAAGCTTCGGAACAGATCTAACAATTTTTCATCGAATGACACATTTTACACATGCTAGAAACTACTTCAGAATAAAGAAACATACCTTAGAAAAGAGTGTGTTGAGACAGTGCACCTTTTGTCTCTCCTGTACGAACGCATAATACTGAGTAACACCCTTCAGGGTCAACTCATCCATTAAGTTCACCTCATAGGGGTCGCTCAAGTTTTTTTTCTACAACAGAAACAACAGTTGCATGTAGTGATCAACAATAATTGAAAAATCAAATGCATGATAAATTACTGTTAAATGTCTATAGCATAATTATGGAATACTCTCTTGCATATATACTTGTCATTATATCCCACTCAACCTGATTGTGCAGGTACTTGAATACATGATAGTATGTCAGCAGCTACAGATTTTAATACCAAAACCTACAACCATCCATGTCAGCGAAAAATTTGCAATTATGTTCCCACGTAACCTAACCTGGACACACACACATATAACTACTAATTAACTATTCAACACTGGAGACAATTGTAGGTGCTCATTTAAATGATGCATTTACATAAAGACGGGTCAGGTAACTGGCACATGGTCTCACAAACATACCATGAAGTGTTCCACTGATAGAGGGAAGGTGGCTGAATACAGGAGAATCTGCCTGTCGCTAGGCAGGTGAGCAATAATCTGGTCAAGCATGTTCTTGAAGTCTTGCGACAAGAGCTTGTCCGCCTACAAACGACAATGAACGACAATGAACAACAATGAACGACAATGAACGACAATGAACGACAATGAACAACAATGAACGACAATGAATGCCCACCTCTCTTATATCCGAATGGTCTAAACTAGCACTTCTGAATGCCTTCAAGGCTGCAGACGGAAAACATTCATTCAACTTGCGACTTGAAACGAGGCTTCTTACGATAACAACGCGCTCTAGTATGACACGTAATTCAATCCAGGTTTCAAGAGAGTAATAATTATTTGGTACATTCATCCAGCTGCGATACTGACTTTATTAGAGAATTCGAGAACAAAACTCATGATCGAAAAAAAACACGATGGTTTACATGAATTTCCTAGACAGGAAAGATACCTCATCGAGAACCAAAATGTTGCACTTGTGCATCTTTGCCACACCCTTGTTCATCAGATCCAATATACGACCAGGCGTTGCAATAACAGCATGAACTGCAGTCATAAGAAAAAGTGATAAACTTGTTAGATTATGAATATGTAGGAAAAATAGCTTCATCATGTCTCTGTGTGCAACCCTGATGAAAAAAGAATGTGAATCAAAAGGATAAATATAACCACAGTAACTTGGAATTGAAGAAAATTCCACCACTTACTGTATGAATATCGAAAGACATGGTAACACACCTAGATTAAAACTTATGGCACAGACAAACAATAGTGAAGGTGATACACGGTCTTATCATAATTTTCCCATCGTACTACCAACAGCACAATGCAGAGCTGCAGAATGTCAGAGTCTGTTTTTACCAATAGATTACAGAGTTGTTCCACAAATATACAGAAATACATCTACCACCCCCACCACTTTTATCGATGTACAATATACCAATAACTAATAGAAATTGTTGCAACCTTTGGCAAACATGTACCGATTTCCTCGAGTTATCAACAATGCCTTGCAAAATCTAATCACTACTTCTTGAACTCAGGACTTTGCCTGAGTTCCTAGCAGCATCCCAAAAGTATAAATACCTTTTTCGTACAACCTCATTATGTCATCCTTCAGATTTGTGCCACCGGTCGTCACCATGACTTTTATCCCTAGATGCTTCGACAGCTCAATGCAGATCTGACTAGTTTGCAGTGCCAGCTCTCTCGTTGGAACAACAACCATGGCTGCAATCACAGACAATATAGACATCAAAACCTTGTAAAAAATGAAAATCTATACCTATGACGTTCATATCCTCTACAATATTGATAAAGCTTTTCTGTAAACGCAAGTGAGCCTGCATGATCCCCATGCCCCACAATTCGCGACACTCGTTTCCTAGTGGCTCCACACTAAACGCCTGCTCGACTCACAAGTGCCGTGGACACAATAAAGAATGGAAAGCGAAAAGTTGACGGGACTTCATGTAAACACTTTTAAAGCAGTGGCTACGCGTCTGGTCATCCATGTTACAAAGCTCACCACAGATTCCCAAATCTACGTCACGATTACAGGCCACGCCCTCTTTCAAATTGTTGATTTTACTGGATTTACTATTGCTTCAACAGTTACAAAAACATATATTTCTGATAAAACACCTAAAGGTAAGTAATATTATGGTAAAAAATAGTTTTTTACTGAAAAAATATAGTTAGGTTCACATAAGAAATATATGACCGGACGCGTAGCCTGGGAGCTGGGCGTCCGGTAACCAAACGCGTAGACACGGCCTACTTTTAACTAGTTGCAACCGGGATAACAGATGCGGTGACGGCCGACAGCCCCTGCTGTGTCGATCGACGATCGCCAGCGCACATCAAATCATTACTAGAGTGGCAAGTTATAGAAACGTGTGAAAGGTCACCAGGGAAGAGCGAGCGAAGGTAAAATGTTTTCTGCAATCGTCTGCACCCAAAAACTTCAAATGCCACAAGTTGAGCAGTGGAGTTTCAAGTTGAGTGACTGTTTTGTGAATTCACAATATTAGAGTTTTACTGTATATTTTAAAACAGCCTGATGATCGTTATGCAGCCTCCCAGCACTTACCTCTGCCATCCTATCAATTTTAAACAGAAAAACAAAGAATACACACCTTGTATGTAATCTTTCTTTGGGTCACAGTGCTCTAGTATTGGAATGGCATAAGCACCAGTTTTGCCAGTCCCGTTTTTCGCTCTCGCTAGGATGTCTCGTCCCGCGAGAGCGATCGGAATGCTGGCTTCCTGTATCGGTGAGGGCTTCTCCCAACCTTTCTCGAAGATTCCTATCAGGAGGCCCCTCTTTAAGCAGTAATCCTCAAACTCGTTACCCTTTGTATCCGTCACATCCTAGAGGAGTTACGAACACATCCACATGCTAAATATCTCGTAAATTTGTGTCAGTTATGCTCGTGAGATAGATGTAATCTTCGCATACAATGTGTAGCACAATAAAAGAACACGCTCATAATGGCAACTCTCAATGAATGTATTGAAACGCTATGAATACTTACGCTGGTCATCTTCCTTCTATCTTTCTCTGGCAGCTTCAACTTTGCCTTCCAGTTCAGGTCATTTGCAACTGCATTGCCCACAGGCTTTGCAACTGCATTGCTAACATGTTTCACATCCCTAAATGGTTATAAAAAAATTTAACACACAGATCATGTTCCTTCCCACTCTTGGCTCGATAATTAATAACTTTATGACCAGATTTATATAGTAGTAATATGAAAGTGTCAATGACACTGCAGCTCACCTTGGGTGTGATAAAAGAAGGAGGGGGGCTATATATAAAGCAAGAGTATATATATATGGGAGAACTCCCATTATATACTCTTGATAATGATATATGCAAAAGTTTTTTAAATACACATTTTTCGACGTATAGCGCCTTTACTACTTACGGTTTTTTGACCTCCTGTTTCGCACTGTTATAGTTAACATTCGAAACGAGAGCATTCCTGTATCCTTTCAATGGGCTTCCTACTGGCAAACTTCCCTGAGATATCTCGGCTGATGGCACGACCGTCGTTGCCATTTTGATGCTCAGGTAATAATACAGCTGTCAGCCTCTTTCTTTTCAAGAACGAACTGGCGACTTTTGGTTAATCACGGATTGAAAAAAAGTTTGATTGCTTAGCAAGCCGTCTTGTACAAATTAGTATTTTGCTTTCTCAAAACGAACCTAAAATGAAAAAAAGTATGCATAATTACTGAATTGCCATGTGATCATATTTTCATAACTTAACACAAAACTGCTGACAACACTCGAAGACTGGACACCTGTAAAAATTATAACGGCCTTGAAAAACTATACCTTGCCATTTCAACATTCTATATTTATTGAACTAGCTGTAATGTGTTAATCACCTGTGGCCAAAACTAGGGTTACAGGCTTTCAGTTTTGAAAAGTACAGGACTACTAATGACGCCCCTAGAACACCATAGGGGGACTTTTCACGCTCCATAATTACACCCTTAAGAGGCATGATGGAGAGCTCCATTAAAAAATCACACCCTTAAGAGGCATGATGGAGAGCTCCACTAAAAATCACACCCTTAAAAGGTCTGCCATTGTTTTAAGATACGACGAAGGGTGTATGAAAGCTGCATTCTCATTGGCTACTGAAACAAGAGTTGTACATTATTCTACTTTGCCTGCGAGTCTAGAATAATTTTATGGTATTGCATTAAGCAGAATTCTTTGCTCTCTAAAACAAGACCAACCGCTTGTCAATACGATACTCCTAGGCTGAGATATTGGCTCCTAAACCTCCCCTCCCACATGCCTCACGCCGCCTCGCATCCCGGTTATTCAGCTACCTCAACGCCCCTAAGCATTTTGGCTATCGGTTTCTGTCACCGCTTGGAGCGCTGATAATTGATGTCACATGCCAAAATTTGATACTCTTACTACACCATATAGTAACTGAGCTGCGTTGTAAAGACTTAATTTAGAAAACATTGCCGGCTCCATCATGACGGGCATTAGCCGTGCTAGGAAAGATAATGGGAGATAAGGGCATAGGCGATGCCCCCGAAAGTCACCTATGATAACCGAAACGCCATTCATTCATAAAGTTATCTCGGAAAAACCGAACTTTCACGAAGCAATGCTTAGGGGCGTTGAGGTAGCTGAATAACCGGGATGCGAGGCGGCGTGAGGCATGTGGGAGGGGAGGTTTAGGAGCCAATATCTTAGCCTAGGAGTATCGTATTGACAAGCGGTTGGTCTTGTTTTAGAAAGCAACGAATTCTGCTTAATGCAATACTATAAAATTATTCTAGACTCGCAGGCAAAGTAGAATAATGTTGTCGTGAAATAGCACTATTTTCCCGTTTTTCCGTTGTACACTCTATGTATTATTAGCTCTTGATGTATATATAGAGATATATATATATATGCCGAAACACACATGTCCAAACATAATACACACACATACACACATATACACACATATATATAGCAAACTGCCTGCGACTCTGCGACTGCGACTACGTACTTTTCTTATGCATGTATATAAAACCTCTGCGACCACACACATTGACATGCAGATGTGTGAGATGCGGAGTAGGGATGTATATAATATATGATATTTATATCCTTATGTTGGCGAGAAAGCCATGTAGGTATGTATATACTTGGGGAATGTGCAAGTGCTTGCGACTCCTGCGACCGATGCATGGATATAAAAGCTGTGCGACCAACCACTTTGAGATGCAAATTTATATATGATATATATATCCTTCTGTTCCCGAGAACGGGATATATCTCAATGGGACCCATGTTCTCTATCCTTGAACCGCTAACCGCTAAGGGCCGGGTAAAAGTGCACAAGTTAGTATTTTATTGCAAAAACTTCACACCTGTGCACTATTTGCTCAGTTGCTGCCATCGGCGATGCACGATCGTCGGTGAGATTGCGAGATAGCACTTGAAGTTTGAACAGCGTGTATGTGGAATTGCTAGATAACAGAGAGCATATTGACATTACGATTTTTGAAGCAAATACAACAAAATGGACCAGGTGCATGTGGTTATGTGCAAATGTTATACTGTTTGTTTTAGCATTTTACACCCTACACAGGTTTTTATTCATACTAGAGTATAACGTATATAAGTATGCATTACCATATACACAAGCATGCTTCTAATGGCAACTTTAGTACCTGCATCCAAGTGAAGCTACACTGACTGAAATAACACACCTGTTATGTTTGACAAATGTTATAGTTATTTGATAGCTGTTCGGTAGGTCACCTGTGGACCTGCACCATGGATTCGAGTGGTCACCCTAGACTTGTATTCTATCTTATTTCGAGTCTAACAGTCCTCTCATCATAACAAGAGTTCTGCATAGTGAGAATTACACTACAGTGCTCATAATTAATGATGTTAGACACCATAGTTTCTAATGGAATATGTGACAGCATCAAATGACAACACAGTCAGAGCTAGTGTGATTAATAGCACTGCACGGCACTTACAAAGCACTAATTATTGTTGCAGCCATTGCACAGCTCAATACAGCATCCCAAATGTGCTGTTGATGTTTTTTTAAAGCGTGTCTCCACTGCATGACATTATATCGCTGATGTGATCGTGTTTGTATCTCCAAGTAATATGCCTGATAACGACGGATGTGTTTGTTTACAAGGTACCGGCGATGTTATCGGTGAGCCCCTGCTAGTGAGCAGGCATTCCCTACTGCAGTTCACATCATGAGGTTTAGTTGTTCTCTCGGTAACACGGGTCAGCTTTGTGCTAAGTATGGGTAAGTTTCTAATTATAGTAAAAGTAAAATCTGCTTTTTAATTGACTACGTCACGAATCTCTTGAAAATTATAGTTGTAAAGTTATTTTTGTAATTTTTTTTTGCATCAAAACTCAGTACTAACGTTACTAAATATATCCTCAAACTCTCCCCTGAGTTTTCACGGCATTTCTAGTGTAATGATATGTTTTACGTGCCTATAACAGTTAAGGTACATCACGCGTCTATGTCATGTCCATTATTTCTAGGAAACAAGTGGTTCGTCATAACAGCACAGATGGTGGGAGTCTGCCACAGCAGGCCCGTGTGGTTGTGTGCGGTGGTGGCGTGATTGGCACTTCTGTTCTGTATCATCTCACGGAGCGAGGATGGAATGATGTTGTGCTATTGGAACAAGGAAGGTGGGTTAGGCCACAGGCACTTGAAGCGTTTCAACTGTAAACACACGCCGCCGCCATTGCGCGCACACTGACACATAAATATATAGACACATGACACATACAATAATATAGACATACAGATATGTGTATATAGATATACACATGACACATAAATATATAGACATTAGATTTCATGGTCCTTTCAATAAAGTGATAAAAATGGTAGGTCAGCGTTGAAACAAAAAAGTTTTGCACTCGGTCCGTTAGACCATGTCCTCAGAAAATGTCTGATATCTGACCTTTCCCCCACTGCCCTTTGACCCGTGACCTCCAATTTCGCACTGGTGATGGGTTTCCTCCCCATCACACTATACACCGTATATTAAGAGCGTAGGTCAAGCCGTTGAGATTTGTGCCGCAATTCTGTATTTCCTCCTATACCTTAAGTTAAGGGGGAAATATTCCCCCTCCATTGACACATCTCGACCTTTGACCCTTGACCCCCCAAATTCGACATACCGAGTCCTTTTCGCGATCCCCCCCCCAACATCCCGAATATCAAGACTGTACGTCGAGCGGTTAAGATTTGTGCCCCAACTGTTGACAGACGGCCGGACGCACGCACGGACAATCATGCGATTCTACAAGCTGCATCTGACTATGTCAGATGAGCTAATAACGAACGACCTTAGCATTGTTACGCAATAACTTCTTATCTAATCTATGAGCAAACTGAAATTAAACTTGAAAGACAAATGAAAGTGTTCACCATCACATCGTGACATCAGATGCGATTCAACACTAGCTCTAGTACTATAGCCCGCGTACAGTTGCCGCAGGGCTATAAAACATTCTATTACGAATGCTCGAGACCAACTTATCCAATGCCAGTGAGTAGGAACTATGTATTTCCGCACGTGGAGGGGTGGGCGGGTTGTGTTGGCGCGATTAATGATGCTTCCAACCATTTTTATAACGCGCGGGCAAACTCGCGCCAACACAACTTGCCCACTCACAGGCACTTGGAGCGTTTCAATAAAATATAATGCTAAATAAATATGAAATCTATTTACTACCAAAGTCTTAATGTTTCTCTACTCTCTTTCAACTATTATTGCCGACAATTTCCTGTAAATGCCGTCCAAATGCTCATCTGCAACACACTGGTTGCCGCACGCTAGCTGCTGCACACGAACACATAAATATATATAGCAGGTAGGAAAGCGTGCTGCCAAAATTCGCTCAACGCTAGCTTGATTTCACACGAATACAACACAAATATTCAACCATTCTACTCCATCTTTGTTTCTATTTGAAGAACAGTGTTCACTTGTTATAAAAACATACTGTCTGTGTTCGTAACCAAGCTGTGTCACGCGAAATCACACAAAGCCTGACGAAATTCTTGTGTTCGCTCCCGTTGCGCAGTTTATGTAAATGGCTGCAAGTACAGGGCTATAGGCGGGGCACTTCATTTTGGGAAACTACCACGCTGCTTTCCAACTCCCGTACGAGCCTCGTCAAAGCCGCCAGTGGAGCGTTGCAATAATGCGGCGCAAAAATGAGGTCACGAAGAGCGCCGGTGGGCGTTTCCTGATTCTGACAGCCATTTACATAAACTGCGCAACGGGAGCGAACGCGAGAATTTATACTAATGAAGCTAGACTGTAGACATGATGATTTGTTGCGTATATTTTACTTTATTATTTTATCCTTATACCTAGTTTTTTTGCAACTTGTTAGTGTTATTTATAAAAGCAGCAGCAGGAGTTTTTGCCGTTTGTTCACGTGATGATGTGTACCACTGTGGCGAGTGCTGGGTGAACTTTGACCTAACGTCGGTCACTGTCGCTGCAGCTGAGAGGGTCTATGTCCCCCGGGGTACTGCCGGAACGTAACCTGGGTACGGTCCGGTATACCCTGGTACTATCTAATATGCCGGACCGTACCTCGCCTACTCCATTAACGAGTCTAGGGAGTTGCCTACGCCTACTCCCTAACCCGAACCCTAACCACATCAAATAGTGACCAGGGTACGTTCCGGTATACAAGACCGTACCCAGGGTACGTTCCGGCAGTACCCTGGGGGACATAGACCCTATGAGCGTCGCTGCAGTGTGTTTACGCATCTATGGTTTGTGCCAGTCGCCGCGACTTTTGTCGTTTGTCGTTACGGTCGGTCGCTGTCGCTGCAGTGTGTCTTGACCTTTACTGTAGGCCTACAATTTTTAAGTCATGTCACTTCTCAGTCTTCTGTAAGAAATGCAGTGTAGATAAAATGTGGGGGTCGCACTGTTTATTAGATAGGTTGTGTGCCTGGTGTAACCTACTAACTCGCATGACTACTAAAGTCTCCCATGAGAACGTTTTGATAATAATGAAACCAGAAAATTCCGAAAAATAGCCGGTCGCCGTAAATTCCGTTAACGAAATGTTGAAAAAATCGTCGTTTCGTTTTGCATGAAATTTTAACAGTAAATACAAAGTAATTTAACGCTATCGATCTTTAAACGATAGAAAACGTTTCGACTAATACGTTCAAGTACCAAATTCTGCTAGAAAACTCATTGTCGTTAGGGATTACATCGATATGTTTATGGATTATACTTACAAACACAACCATTTACCATGGCCGTTTGAGTCTGAATCATCATGACCCGGAAGTGACCTCAGCCATAGCACATTAAATAAAGTACCAGGCGTTACCAGTTGATAAATTCAACTATATCATAGCAGAGCTCTGATCATAGATATATACAATACATATACGTGTTGTATATATCTATGATAGCAGTAATGGTTAATAAAGTCATAAAGGTGATGCTAGGATTATTAATTACCGTACTGGTGGTTGCTATTATGGTACAAAAATAATGGTGCTCTAAAACCATTAATATCTATACAAAAGAAAATCATTAGGCTAAATTTGCACCTAGAAGCTATGGAAGGACCAAAGTAAGCCCACTATATCACAGATTCACAGATTCACAGATTCTCTTCTGACTCTAGCAGGGGTGTATCCAGGATTTTTTCTGGGTGGGTCGTGATCATAATTTTTGGGACCTTTTCACAATGAAATAACAGCAAGATGTGATTAAAATGTCAATACAATTTAATTGAAACAAAAAAATACACAAAACCAATCATTTCAGTGTCTCTTCTAGTCAGAGTCTTTTAGGACATGCCCGAAATGCATTCGTCTAGGTTGCTTTTGGCAGAATGCACGTACCACTTCCTCTACATCAACCTTCTTCTCGTAGTGTAGAGGTCAACTAGGTTGTTGCTCGTAGCTGTTCTACCTTAAAGACCTTGCCAATACGTCACGCAATTGGCAAGGTCTTTAGACTCATTGCTGGTACCTGATCAATTATGCTTTTTCATTTATGTTTTTTCATTATGTTTATTCATTTCTTTTGAAAAAATGTGGACCTTTTGAAATTTTTGGGGGGTCGTACGACCCTCACGACCCCCCCTGCATACACCCCTGTCTAGGTCTCCTCAGAGATCCTCTACTGTCAGCACTCGACAATTTTCCATGTCACGGTGGCAAGGGTTGGTGGCTTGGATAGATTCTCTATACTCGTAGCTGTTCTCTATACTCGGGGCTGGTTTAATTCTCCAATGTTTGTCTAATCTGGCCTCAAAGGACCTGACTGATTTTGCTGTTACTACTAATGCTGGAAGCTTGTTCCACAAATCCACTGATCTATGTACAAATGCGTATTTCCTGATGTTCAATCTCGTTCTGATTTTGTAGATTTTGTATGCATGTCCCCGTGTTACCGATTCACCTGCTGTCAAGAGGTGAAGTCAGACACTGACTTCAGGATCATATTTACCAGTCGGTATTTTATACATATCTCAATCATGTTACCCCTCACTCGCGCTCAAAGGGTCGTTGTCGTATCAGGTACTATACAGATATCAGGGACGGATCCAAGATTTTTGAAAAGGGGGTGTCCAAGAAGAAATAAAGGGCACCTCTTCCTGCTTACTTTTTCTGGTGTTTTAAAAAGCCGCCGAAGGCCACTTAGGGGGGTTTGGGGAACTTCCCCCAAGATTTAAAAAAAATTGGTGCATTCTGAGAGCATATGAGCAGTAATTTTAATGTCTAGAATGCAAAAATTTATCAGATCCGGTTCCCCGGACGCCTGCGGACCCCTCTTTGGCCATTTCTAAGTTTTTATAACGAATTTACATATATATATATATACAAGTAAATTTTTATCAGATAAACTAGCGCTAAAATTTTTTTTTTTATGGAGACAATATAAGAGAAGTGTGTGTGTGTGCGTGTGTGCGTGCGTGCGTGCGTGTGTGTGTTTTTTTTCCTTTTTTGTGGTAAAAAGGGGGGTCCGGACCCCCTCGACCCCCCTCTGGATCCGCCCCTGGATCCGCCCCTGGATATGTACCCGAGGTACATATATGTATACACAAAGTGTATACATATTGTGTGTTGTATTGAGCTGTTCCCGTTCAACATGCGTCGCGCTAGTAATCGTAGCACTAGTGGTGCCAGGTAGACTGGTCCGCGCTCGACAGTTCTACTCGCGTTACGCGAGTGGAACTGGCGAGCGCGCCCCAGTCCAGGTGCCAAGCGGATAAACCGCAAGTTAGCGTAGACTGGTACCCGGTCCTACCTATCGGTCCCATCGAGTAATCGAGGTGGGAGCGAGTACCAGTCTAAAGTTAGCGATGCAGATTACTACTACGCATGCAGATGCAGATATCTGTGTAAGTGTGTTCCATGCCTGTTCTAATGTCATCACCATTGGAAAGTGTTGTGATGTAAGGAATGGACGATTAAGTTGCTTTATATACCTTATCACACCACACAGAAAGTAGTGGTGCAGTGTTTGGTTAGTACTATGTGTGGATAGTTGTCTGATTGTTTCGTGACCCGATTGACGATTCTATCCTTGATTTGAATCCATACCGTACGGCTGCACACGTAGTCCGAGATTCCTCTGACCAATGCCCACACCGACGATTTTGGTGGATTTGGCGTGGGAGGTGTGGCGTGGGAGGATTTGGCGTGGGAGGTTTAACCCACGCCAAATCCACCAAAATCGTCGGTGTGGGCATTGGTCAGAGGAATCTCGGACTACTGCACACGGTGAGGTTCATGCTGAGCACGGATCTCACGAGCGGGTGCCACTGTACTCTGTACTGTAGTTTACTGTCTGTAGGTCATGTGACTGATCAAACTGGCGCGGCGGAACCAATTAAAATGCACCACCACTGAGTGAGAACCAATCAAAATGTGCCGCCACTGAGGCTCAAGGGGTCGTTATCGTATCGGTTACTACAGATATTAGTCCGCAAGTGCAGACGTTATAAATTCGCTTTGCTAATCTGAGGGTGCGGGTTTATTAGACCCCATTATAGACCCCATTACTGGGGTCTGCGTCGGCTCGGACTATACAGATATGTACCCGAGGTACACATATATATGTATATACACAAAGTGTACCAGATTTGTACTACAGAAGTGTACCCTAACCCTAATCCTAACCCTAAACATACCTCATATAAAAATATAAACATAATACTAAACAACCTAAAACTACCTCGGGTACATATCTGTAGTACCTGATACGACAATGACCCCATCTGCGCCACTGAGTGAGTGCTAGCAGGAGTCTCACGTACCCCGCACACGCTGAGGTTTCAGCCTTGCGAGACCAAAATTATCAAACACGACAGATAATTTCCTCACCGCCGCGCGAGACCGAAAACTCACATAAATCGACCCCGCACACGGTGAGATTCATGCTGAGCACGGAGCTCCGCACGAATTTCACCGTGTGCGGGGGACTTAAGCACTTAAACTGAAAGTTAAAGCAGCATTTACTGTAAAAGTGGCAGGGCAAAATAATGCTAGCTAAATGGGCCCAAGGATAGAGAACATAAGTCCCAATAAAAGCCGATTTTTTCTGCTGATAGATGGCGCCACTATGCTATATACACTGCTTATATAGCGACTTGGATATATACAAAGATATATAATATATATATATATATATGTATATAAGATATATAACCTATATAATGTATAGACGAGTGTAATTAAGCACCTCTCCGCTGGTATTTAGATGTCTGCATCAGCTGCTCTAGCACAGCTATTGTAATCGGCAACATCATCGCCGTCGTCGCCGTGTTGCTGATCCACATCGACAGGAAGAACGTTACTCCCATGAATCCCATCAGAAGCCTAATGGATATTTGTATATATATATATATATATATATATTAGTTTTGTAATTAGTTAAATTAATTTTACTTACGTATGTTACTGTAATATATTACGGTAAACATAACAGTCACAAGAGATCATCGTAAGCAGTATAAGCGCTGGGCTCAAATAATATTATCAGTAGCTATATCAGATATGCGTTACATAATGAATGCAGTTGGATAAGCTTTGGCTTTG